TCCTCAGCACCACATAAAAAGAAAAAGCTGGAAGTGGCGCTGTGGCTCAAGTGGTAGAGCACTAGCCTTGAGCTGCAGAGCTGAGGCACAGCACCCAGGCCCAGAGTTCAGGCCTTACGACCGACCAAAAAAACAAAACAAAACAAAAAAAAATCAGGGAAACAAATCTTTTTACTTTTAACTCTGGTTGTTAGCTGTGTTTCCTTTTCCTGTCTTAGAAAATAAGCTAAGTTAAAATTACTTTTCTCTGTTAAGATTGTAATTACCTCAGGATAATTTAGAACAGAAGCTATGAGTACTGAATAATATTAAATGTAGATACAGAATCATAGAGAAATAGTGGATCCAACTTAAGGGGCACTGATCTCAGAGTATACTCTGGAAATATATATTTTTAAACAAAATCCTTATGAGCCATACTTTTTGGTCTTTTTTTCACAAAAATCAAAGGAATAAAAAATAGATTATTTAAAGCCACTTCATCAAGTCCAACCAAAAAAGTCAGTGTGAGAGAGTAGAATGAGTTCATTGAACAACTAAGTCAGATGTTTACTCTGTGCTAACTAAAGGCTATGATGCTGAAGATCCTTCCACCATTGTTTAAAGTACTCCACTGGGTATTTCAGTGTCACTGCAGTAGAATAAACAGGAGTTTCTGCTAAATTTTTCCTTGATTTCTTGTAACTGCATAGCATCTGGAGTGCTACAGAAGGTCATCAAGTACAACAGTTGACTTATGTGAATGACTAAATCTCTTTTATTCATCCAGTTAAGAATTGTACTTTCTGTTTGGGGGTGCTATTTTTAGGGGGAGGAGAGAATGATAAAGGGTTGAAATTGATTGGAATGAAGTGTGAACATGTATGGAGATATAACAGTGGAATCCTTCCCTTACATAAGCCAGTAAAAAAAAAAAATTAAACCTTCTAAGGAAATGGCCCAATCTATGCCACTTTGTTTTATAAGGGATCAGTTAAAATGGAAAATTCACCTGAAGAGTAGAATAACAAGTTGTATCACTCTGACCTCAGTAAGGACTACTATTGATTATCTACATCCTTTTCTTTAGGTAGGCATACAAGAAAAATGAGAAAAATGACTCCACCTTCCAAGGTAACCAACCTATTCTGTATCAAACTATCTGCTATCAATATATGCACACAATATGAACGATGGGGGAGGAATTCACAGTCCTCATCTTAACCTCAGGTCCATTCTTCCATTACTACTATCTAATTGTATCTCAGATGCAACAGGATCTTAAGCATGTTATATTAATTCAATTATTTTTCTTTTTTTCTTAGGGTAAATCATATACTGTGATCACAAAAATTAAACTTGGGGTGGAAATTTTTACTTTAGAACTTGAAATCAAGGTATATAAACAATATTTAAGACACAGGAGTGGAGAACCTCCAGCTTGTGCATTGTGTAAGATCCCTGAAATCAGGGATTTGCTTCTTGTGTGCTTCTCCACAGTAATCCCCAGCTGTCTACCTATATTGATAATTTTATGTGGGCCATATGATGTTATATTCAAATGACCGTTGGTAGGAAAAAGGTTCCTCACCCAATATAATAGAAATATTAAATCAAGTCTAACAATTCATAAGGAATTTACAGATCATTAACAATATTTCTATTAGGTATCTAAATTAATGTGTGCTAAAGGGAAACATTTTGATTATCTAGCAAAAGTTGCCAAAAAAAAATTGGAGTGTATTTTACAACATGGAAAAAATGATCAATATGCGATAGGAAAATTCAGTAAGAATAGGAATAGGCCAATAATTTAGCAAGATTTTATAAAGACATCATAGCCAATAATAAATTAATATTTTAGTACATTTTAAAGGATGATGTAAGCTAATTGGATGGTAATATTTACATGTTTTTTTTTTTTTTTTGTCGGTCGTGGGACTTGAACTCTGGGCCTGGGCACTGTCCCTCAGCTCTTCAGCTCAAGGCGAGCGCTCTACCACTTGAGCTACAGCGCCACTTGGATGGTAATATTTAATGGTTCACTGTAGAGAAGGAAGAGGTGGTCATGAGTGAGACAACAGAAACTGTTGCATAACATTAGTTAAGGAAAGGAATTCAGAAAGAGTAATTCCAAAGCAAATCATTAAAAAGAGAAATTAGACTCAAAGGAATGCAGGGCCTAGACACTATGGGGAGGTTATGCTATCCTTTCTTCCTGTATATTCTCCATCTTGTTCTTCATCCTTAGTCCCCCTTACCTATCTTCTATTTCTGCTTTTTCCTCCCCTGCCATTTCCCCTTCTCTTCTTTCACAAGTCTTTTATTTAGGTGGCTTGAACAGAAACATATTAAGATATTAAGCCTCTGCTGTTCAAGTTTTTATTTACCCAGAGCCTAGGCTTCAGGTGTAGGGAACTCTGAAGCTGTGCTGTGAAACCTGGAAAAGCAATGCTGAGAGCTGGCCATCGAAGGGTTAAAACAGATAGGTCTAGAGAGGGTTAAGAGACTTGGAAGGCTGCCCCCCTTTTAGTGTTGGAAAGCCTTGTATGCTGGAGACCTTGACAACTTAACCTTGGGGCTAGATAGAGTAGACTTCATGTCTGGACTTTCTCCAGTCTCAAAAGAATAAGGGAACCAGTGTCTCTCACACACTCTGTTTTGGTTCTGATTGTAATACTAATATAAATGCTTTACTTTTTGCATGTATCCATGGTAACCTTCTTTGTGTGATCTCAAATAAATATGCTTGCTTATGGGAACTTGGACCCCACGTGCCCCTGGGATCCCTGGTGCCTGCTGATTTCCTTATCTTACCTATCTCTGCATTTCCTAATTTTCTTTGGCCCCAGTTGCAGTTAGCAACAACCAAGGTTTAGAGAGACTGTGATTTGTATAACTACATGCCCTGTCTTTATTCTTACCCATTCTCAATGTTTCCTTATAATACTACTTACTGACAGACTGGTTTATATGTAAAAAAAAAAAAAAAAACACCTTTTGCCTGGAAGTATAGGGGGAAATAATGGCCTTCTAAACTCAATTTCTTTTTGATTGTTCTCATCTCACAGATTAATTGCTGAAACAAGGCAAAAATAGTGCAATAGACTAAAAATACTACTGCTCATTATATATTTTTATGTATATGTGTATGCATGTATGTTCAGTTGACATACTCTTAGGATTAAGTTAATTTACCTAGCCCTAAGAGCTACATGTGCTGATTTTCTGGGGAGCAAAATGCTTTGTTTTGTTTGTTGTTTTGTTTTGTTATATGTAGCTCAGGCTGGTCTTGAACTATTTTGCCCAAGTTAGACTTGAAATCTTCCTTGACTCCAGCCCCTGGAAGTGCTAGGATTACAGGAGGGTGCCACTATGCCTGGCTAGATGTGTCTTCTTGAAGAGACTTTGAAAATCATATTGCTGAGCCCATAAGCAAATATTTGGGTGTCAAAGAAAGAAAACAAAGCAAGTCTTTCTTTTTATCCTTCTTATCTCTGCCTTCACATACTGCTTGTGTCCATCTTAGCTAACACTTAGATGACAGGGAGATTCTGTTGTATATACATACATTGAAATTTAATCACTAATCAACTTAATTGCAAGAAATACGATTTAAAAGGGAAATTCTAAACAAAATGTTAATAAAATCTTTAAAGGGATAGATTTATCCTATGGACTAAAATCAAATCTGAGATGCTCTTAATCAAGACTTTCAGTTTATATTTGACTCATTAATTTCCTTCAGTCTTTCCCTAATTTATCACTATTGCCCTCTTCAATTCATTTTTGGACCATTTGGAGAGAAAATAGGAGCTTCTGCCATGAGAATCTCTATTCTAGATTGACTTAAATAAAGTCTAGCCCTTTGAAGCCAGCTCTAATTTCCAGGAATGTTTTAGGTACTAATCAACCCTTAGCACTTCTTTATTCTTTATACCAATCATTTGTACTGTCTTCACACAAATAATAAGCTAGCTATCTTTAAAGGTTAGTTTTTTTTTGTTGTTGTTTGGGTTTTTTTAACTGTATTTTTTTTTGTCTTTTTCTTTTTTGGTACTGGGGATCGAACCCAGGACGTTGCGCTTGCTAGGCAAGCACTTTGCCACTGAGCTACATCCCAGCCCAAAGGTTAGTTTTTTTAAAAATCCATAGAATTGATTTAACCTACTCAAATCCCATAACTGATAGTACTATTGTGATACAGGAAGTCAATCATAGAAATGGAAATAAAAAATAGGGTCAAATTTATAGCCTACATTTTAATACTTTAAAAATTCTTTTTTTGCCTGAATTCTTGTTTATTTTAGGCTTATTCTAATTTATTTAAAGCTAGGGGTCTGTATACCCATATTTATTCATAAACTTTTCCAGGTTTGTTAGAATTTGCAAATTTGTTCATTTGGGAAACTTGCATTGGGTCCTATGCTAGTGTCTAAAAGATTTTTTCCCCTTAGGAAATTCCAGAAAATATTAAAATTTCTGATTACTTGATAGTGAGACATTAGAAGACAAAATGAGAGCACAGTTGACAGATACCAAGTCAAACTGCTTTCTATTTTTTCATCTTAATTAATGAGTAAGAAAGGGCTCTACATCTGAAGAGGACATTTCATTTTAATCTCCTTTGAAGCTAAATCCTTTTATAAGGGCTGTTACTCCCCAAGAAAAAGACACCAATTAGTGTTCTAATCAACAAAAGAGAAGTAACAAAGGAGGATGGAAATTCTAAGTTTAAAATAGATCCCTTTCCCCAAACCAATACCTCACCTCTCCCTGTTTGTTTTTGTCATTGCTGTTTTTACCCTGGGCAAGTAACTCCACATTCTGGGTTTGATTTGTTTTATCTATCAAATGAGTATATTTTCCTCCAAACCCAATAGTAAGGCTAGAAGACTGATCAAGGGTCCTCCCATTCAAAAATACAATCTAGGCATTTCTAGCTCCAAACTGGCAAGCAGGAATCTTCTCAGGGGAAAGTCTAGGAAAGTACAACAAAGGAGGCCGAAGCCAGTTCTCACCGAGAGGATCTTATCACCCTCCTGGAGCCGCCCATCCTGGGCTGCAGCCCCATTCTCTTTGATTCGGCTGACGTAGATGCCACTGTCATTGGAGACATACTGCTGATCTGTCCCACCGACGATGTTGAAGCCCAGCCCTGAGAAAATCATGGAAAAGTGAAGGAGATGGGGTGAAGAAGAAAGAAAAGCATTAGAGAAGAAGAGAAGGAAGAAAGAGAAAAAGCCCACTTGGGGAATGGGGGAAGAGGCTGACAAGCTGGACTGTGAGGTAGCTAGTGAACACTTATGAGCAAGGTCAATAAGTAATAACACCAATAAAGGCCATTCCCATTTAAATCAGGTGGTAACAATATAAAAACAGTGATGAAGATGACATGTTGAGCATATAAAGATCTATACACAACTTAAAGAATAGTGGTGATTCTTGAAAGATGAAAGAACTTCTCATCACATTTGATTTTAACACTGTTGATGGCATTCAGAGAACTCAATTATGGCCATTTCTGGTACTAATGTAATAAGGTCAGCTTTGCTCAGGAGAAGCTGTGTAGTTATTTATTTTTATTGTGTATGTATGCACACAACAGGCGTGCATGCCTGCATGTGTGCAAGTCCTGGGGCTTGAAGTCAGGGCCTGAGATTTTTTGCTCAAGGCTAGTACTCTACCACTTGTGCCACAGCTCCACTTCAGGCTTTTTTGGTGCTTAATTAGAGGTAAGGTTCTTACAGACCTTCCTGCCCAGACTAGCTTTGAACCACGACCCTCAAATCTCACCCTCTTGAGTAGTTAGAATTACAGATATAAGCCACTGTGCCCAGCTGTAGCTGTGCTTTTAACCAACAAGCAAACGCACTATTTCTAATTCAGTGGGGAAGGTTTCCTAGCCCAAATACCTTCACCTCCATCCTTTTCTTCTTCAAGATTCTGAAAAGTTTGTGTATAGTAGAGTTGCAGATTGGAAAAAGTGGCCTTGGGCACTAGTGTTGGCAAGAAACCCCCTGCTTCAGGGTAGCACTAGATTACCCATTTTATTCTTCTTCTTCAACCTCAAGTACAAACAACCACATATAATGGCCAAGTTTTACTCACTCTAAAAGAAAGTAACTACTCACTAGCAACTTGCCATCCCCTTCCCCCTCCACCCCAGTCCCTGGTATCCACCATCCTGTACTTTGTTTCTATGTGTCTGACTATTTTAGTTATGTGTAAATTTTGAGTTGTAGAAAAAAGTTCTAGAGATCTGCTGTACCACACTATGCCCAGAGATAAAACACTATATTGTACACTTCAAAATCTGTTAATAGAAAAGATCCACATGTTCTTATCACAATAAAATGCAATAAAACAAGTACAGAAAGCCAAAAGCTAGTTAGCTAACTTACCAAAGTGTTATTTCCATGATTCATCTACTAAGTTGTAAAAAGAAAAGGATCTCGCTTAACAGAAACTGCTGTCATGAAGGTTTGTTTGGTTACCTATACAAGAAGGAGGAGAAGGAGGAGGAAGAAGAAGAAAGAAGAAAAAAAGAAAGAAAGAAGAAGAAGCAAAAGAAGAAGGAGGTGGAGGAGGAGGAAGAGGAGGAGGAAGAGGTGGAGGAAAAGGAGAAGGAAGAGGAGGAGGAGGGAATTTCGTGCAGCCTTGTTTTGTTAGCTACTGCTATAAAGATGAAAATTTATCAGTATAATTAGATGGAATCCCAGTCACTATTAAGACCAGTCTTCTACTGGTCTCAACACAAAATTAATACCCAAAGAGACATATGTGGACTTTCTTTTTTTTTTTTTTGGTCAGTCGTGGGGCTTGAACTCTGGGTCTGGGTGCTATCCCTCAGCTCTTCAGCTCAAGGCGAGTGCTCTACCACTTGAGCCACAGCACCACTTCCAGTTTTCTGAGTGGTTTATTGGAGATAAGAGTCACAAGGACTTTCCTGCCTGGGCTGGCTTTGAACCTCAGATCTCAACCCCTGAGTAGCTAGAATTACAGGTGTGAGCCATGGGCGCCCGGCCATATGTGGACTTTCTAAAAAGTACTTCCCATTGTTTGGATGAAGTTTGCACCTAAAGCTCAGACTACTGAACACAGCACTAGAAAATCAATCTGTCATGAAATGAAAACCATCAAGAATCAGCAGAAAAACTACCATTTAATTAGCTTACCTTGTATGTGTAGTCTCTGCAGTCAGAGAAAGTTTGTATGTTCCTAGACCATTTTCATAGAATACCCTTAATTTGTATCAGAATACTGAAGATACTGGAGAAGGGCTAGGAATTTGAGACAAGGTAAAATGACAAAGGGATCCAGATTATGGAATATTTTATAATGACTTAAAAACTGGCAGTTTTTTTTTATTGTGAAAATACCGTACAGAGGGGTTACAATTACATAGGCAAGATAATGAGTACATTTCTTATCAAGCATTATTGCTTCCTCCTTTGTTTTCCCTTCCCATCCCTTCCCATCTCCCACCCCCCATCGGCATATCCCACATCCCCCCTCGGCAAAGTTGTAAAGTTCGTATTTTGACATAATGACTTGTACGTCTCATTGTTGCAATGGGTCCACCTGTATCCCTATTTAAACAATTTGTTTTTCCCTTCCCCTCCACAAATTATACCAACATCAAATACAGTGAGAGCAGGGTTTATACCGTGGGGGAGGTGTGGCAGTTTTTTGAGGAACCCTCTCCTAATACTGGAACAAAGATTTAAAGTAAATTTTTCTAACATCCTTACTATGTTTGGGTTGAAGTCTCTCATGGCCACTGCCTCTAGGGATCTTGGGAACAGGCTGCAAGTGTTAAGCAGACAAATACTGATGCAGTACAATAGTTAGCAAGGGGGAAAAGAGAACAAAAAACTTTGCTAAGACTATTTAAAGCTGCAGGGCAGTATCTTTAAAAAGAGAGAGAGAAAGGTGAATAAATCTTACTGAGATTTCTTACAAATAAATTGCAGTTCATTAGTCACCTCCTAAAATCATTATGTAGGTACAATGTAGTCCATTGTTACTTATGTTGTAAATAAACCAAAGCACTTAAAATGAGAACTCCTGGATTACTGAAAGCCCTTCCCCAGCCACATTTACAGAACTGAGCTCATCTATAACTCCACACCTAAATAAGAATCACCACAAATCCGATGTGGAAGAAACAGTTGTATTGTCAAAGCTCATAGAATTCACAAACATCATAGACCAAGATAATGACAATTTCCCTTGTGAAGGTTAAAATGTGTTTGTGACTTTAAGTATCACTATCTCACAATACTGTGAAATTTGTCAAATTTATGTAATCACTTAATCTCAATAAAAATTATTTAAAAATAAAAAGTCACGACAGCCATGAAAGTCACCAAAATAAATTATTTACCACAACACTGAGTAGCAATATTATGATACCTCTCCTCCCAGTCCCCGAATCCCCTTCCCCCCCACCCCCCCCCCCCCCTACCCTCTCCCCCCTTTTCTCTTTCTCTGAGGGGGATAGTACTGGGATTTGAACTCAGGATCTTGCTTGTTCAATGGGCATTCTACCACTTGAGCTATGCCTCCAGCACAATTTTTTGCTGGTTATTTTGTAGATGAAGTTTCTTGGACTTTTCTGCCCAGGGAAGCCTCTGTATCTCAGCCTCCTCAGTAGCTAGGATCACAAGAATAAACAACAAGCACCTGAAAATACACAGTAATTACTATATTGAAGGTAAGACACTCAGAGTAGCTGTCAACAAACTAGTGACTGCTCTATCCCCAAACTAGAGACTGATGGAGAAAGGATGAATAAATATACATTATAAAAGTGAAAATACTAAAAAGTTCACCAATCTATAAGTAGGAAAAGACTATATTATAAATAGAAAAATTACTGAAATTAAGTCTGTAACTTATGACTTAACAATCCCCTTCAGGAGTAGTTTCTGGCCAAGGTGATGATTAAAATCTTCAACAAGCATCCAGCACAAGTAGCAACCAAGAAGAACAGATGCCAGCTGGAAGCAATCAGAGGCAGAATGGCTATCCAGAATTAATTATCAGCTGTGAAAAATAACATGTGTTGTCTCCATGAGCCAGGCACCAGTTACTGACATCTGTAATCCTAGTTACTCAGGAGGCTGAGATCTGAGGACTGAGATTAGAAGCCAGCCTGGGCAGAAAAGTCCCTGTGAGACTCAGTTCCAATTAGCCATTCAAAAACAGAAGTAGAGCTATGGATCAAAGTGGCAGAGCACCAGTGAACAAAAGACTCAGGAACAGCACCTAGGCCTTAAGCTCAATCCCCACAAATGACAAAAATAAATAAAAATTAATTATCAGCTGTGTCCTAGGAAAAATGTTTCCTAATCAAGTACCTTGGGTTTTCTGATAATCAACTATATACACATGCTACCCTCGTGTCACCTTTCGATTCTAAAAGCATTCAGTGTGAACACATGTGCTCATCCCATTTTACAATTCTCCTGCCTCTGCATGGGATTATGGGTATGTGGCACCAAACCAGTTTTCTAATGAATTTATGTACCAAAAAATAAAAACTTGTCAGGCAACTGGTGGTTCACATCTTAGCTACTCAGGAGTCTGAGATCTGAGGACTGCGGTTCAGAGCCAGTCCTGGCAGGAAAGATGGTGAAACTCATATCTTCAATGAAGCACCAGGAAGTCACAAGTAGAGCTGTGGCTCAAGAGGCAGAATGCCAGCCTTGAGCAAAAATAAAAGTTCAGGGACAACACCTGAGTTCAGCTCCAGGCCTAGCGCAGCCCCTAAAAAACAAAACAAAAACTCTGGTATTGTAATTGTTTGGAGATGACAGGTCCACCTCAAAGGCTCATGTGTTAAAATACATGGTGGAGGTGACTGGCTCATGGAGGTTCTAACATAATCAATGAGATTAACCCACTAATGGATTCATAACTGAGTGGACTAGTGGGAGGTGATGGAAACTGTATAGGACAGGGGCTAATTGGAGTATGGAAGTCGCTGGAAGCATGCCTTTAAAGAATCTCTATTGTCTCTAGTCCCTTCCTGTCTTTCTGCTTCCTGGCTGCCAAGAGTAGAGCAGCCCTGCTCTACCACACCTGTCTGCCATGGTATGCACCACACACAGGCCCAGAAACAGCAAAACCACCTGACCATGGAGTCCAAAT